GCCTATACGAGTAGAAATCTTGAACGAACAAAAACTATTTTTAGAAACAATGAAAATAATACTTTAGATAAACTTGATGTTAATATAGCCAGTAATTTGGTTTCATATTTAACGAAAAATGATGATTCTACCTTGACTAAATCACGAGAAAATAGATGGAAATCAAATAAAAAGACTGATAATAACACAAAAGGTAAACTAATCTATTAATCGTTAATTGTTAAAAGATGAATTTTTTTCATATTGTTTCTATTTTTAGATCATCCACGTGCTGATAACTCTGCTTTTTTACCGTTACAAATCGGATCTTTCGTAATAGCTAAATTTGACAATACATTTTGTGTTGCTCAAATCATTGCCATGTATGAACAAAAGTCCTTGATGCATTCATATACTGATACTCCTGTTTCAGATCTCAAATCTCTTTCTTATGTATCTATGAAAATTTTCTTTCATGTTAATGGTGCAATTTTTTCAGAGATTCGGGATCATCATTTTTTAATTTTTTCTCATACTAAAGCTTCTCATATTATTCATCATTTGGTATTAAAAGATGTTATTATTAGTGAAGAAGCATTAATTCTTAAAGGACAAGCAAAGGAATATTTTAATGCACTCCTTAAAAGTAATAATAAATAAAATCTTAATAAATATAATAAATAAATTTTTTTTCTACATATTTATTTACATATAAAAATAAAGTCATGCTTTAGTTTTGGCGAATTAATACTAAATTTGTATGTAATAATTCAATTTTTGGCGAATTCAACTGATTTTAAGGGTAGCGAAATACCCATAATTTTGTGCAGATCATTTATGACCTATATATGTATTTTCCGGGGTCCTGCTGGAAACATGTTCCTAAAGGACCCCGGATAATTATAATAAAGGTCATATACAAAAAAAGTATATTTTATTGTATTTTTAATGAAAAGGTCATATGCAAAAGCGGGTATTTTAAGTAAAAGTCACATGCAAAAATAGAATACTTCTAATATAATTTTATGTAAAATTTTAAGGTCACATGTAATTTTTCTAATAAAGCATATATTTTAGGGGGAATATAGTGGAAATATAATATGCAGTAGTGTTACATCAAATTTAATATAAATAGCAAATTTTGCTTGAGATAATTTTATCATAATGATAACGTAATAAATTTATATTCAAAAAGTTCATTTTTTTATCACAATGTAATATAATTATTTAAATTTATTAAATTTATTTGCTTTTCATATCAGATAAATTTACCAGAGATTCAATATAATTTACCATTAATTATTTTTAAAATGTTAAGACTTAAGACACGTGTTTTCGTATTTTAATTTTTGTCTTTAATGTCATTATATATCAATACAAAATGAAATATCTCGAGAAACTTTTAAACATTAATACTTTCTACAATTCCACCTCCTAATATTCATTCTGTTCATGTTTCAAATATTAATATATCTGATATCTTTTCTATTACTTTTGATACTCCTTATGAGACTCTTCTACCGTTAGCCAGAATTAATAATACTGCTGAAAAGATCCTTCATTTGCAATATTCACATTTAACTTCTGCAGCTGTCTTTTCTAATGGGGGTTGTTTATTAAACCTTAGCATTACAATTTAGACTAGCTATTTAAAATTAATGAAATTTTCAGAAAATTGCAAAAATTTCACTGAAAATATGGGATTTTTGATTGTAGGAAAAAAAAAAATGATAATCTATAATTTTTTAATTCAGCTATAAATAAATTACAGTTAATTATTTCTACAGAATCAATTGATGATAATGCTGTATAATTTTAATATAAAATAAAATTTTGACCTATTTTTTAGTAAAAAAATTATATTGATGTCATATGATAAAAAAGGATATTTGTAGTACAAAATAAGGTCATATGATAAAAATGTATATCAAAACGGCAAAATTTACTTATATTTCATTAGATTTTTAATTAGTACTGCGGATGTAACCTCTATTATAATTATCCGGGGTCCTGTTCCTAGTCCTATCATAATGTCACATAACAGACGCGCTTACCGCTCACCAGAAATATCTTGAAAAATACACTTTTATAAAGAAACCTAAAACTACACCTGCTTCTTTATCTTTCTCCAAGTCTTTTCATGCAAAACACCTCGTAAAGTTAAACAAATTCATTCAAAATGTCAAGGTATCTCTTATACAGTGGAATATTAGACAAACTCAGGGGAAAAAACAATACCTAAGGCGTAACAATTACATGTATCAGAAACGATATGAGAATTTTCTCCAATATCATGATAAAACAACCAAAATCAGCCGGAATCAGAAGGCTCAATTCTAGCATAATTGTAAAAGAGTTTTCAACTGGATAAAAGATGACCCTGCTCTTACCTTAGATGATCAAATTTCTTGTGCATGTCAACATCGATTCTTGTTAAAACATTGACAAGCCCATTCAACATTTGAAATATAAAGATAGAACATTTAACCAGAATGAAAAATGATTATAATTTTCAAACTCTCAGGTTTCCAGGGAAATCACAAAGAAAACCAAAAATCAGTAAGAACGCTGAAACCTCAAGGACTGTAATTTCTATTCAACCTCTTTCTAAAGAAATCAAATCAGATGTAGGTTTAGAAGTGGCTTATGACTTTAATATTCCAGCGGATCTCCTCCCTTTCGTACTTGATGGGCCAATATACACATCAAAAAAACAAAAAAAAAATAATAATCTGATGGTTCCTGGTAGCCAAACTTGGCTGACTGAATTAAAATCTAGAAAGAAACTCCATATCTTGAATGAAAAACAACATTTAGAACATCTAGCCAATGTCCGGAAAGTGGCATTTCTTGGTATATGCATAAATAGACTACGCATATGGTCTTTTTACGAAGATGTCTTCATGTGGCACTTAAACTCTATTTACAATGATCTTATCTCTATTTTCGACCGCTGTAAGGAATGTACAATGGCTGAGGAAATTGCCGACCTCAATCAAGAATTTAATAACCTTAATTGTATTTTGTCAATTATGACTACATGGAAATTCATCACATAAACTTTCCTATGAAGATACTTTGGATAGATTTACGCCTAAAGAATTATGACCTAACAGACGTAACACTAATCACAAATTTTACTTTGGCTCTTCTGAGTCAAAACATATAGATAAAAAACTTATAAGGATTGTGACACTTTACCACTCATTTAAATTTTGACGTCAATGTATAATATCTTAAAGGAAATATTTTAATATTTAACCTTCAATTTTTTTTTTTTTCTACTAGACTCCCGATTTTTTGAATTTAACTAATTTTTATATAGTCTTCTTTTTATAATGAGTCTAGCACTGGTAAAAAAATGATTTATCCTATACATATCTTACACATATTGGGTGCTCAAAATGTAGAAAATCATACACAAATAATACACATATCATATACATATCGGGTACTAATCTATATATCATATATATATTAGGTACCTGATAGGTATACTACTATACTATATATATAAGTACCCGATATGTGTATGATATGTGTATTATTTGTGTATGATTTTCTACATTTTGAGTACCCGATATATGTAAGATATGTGTAGGATATGTGTAGGATAGACCATTTTTTTACCAGTGTAGATATTTTTAATTGTAGCTATTTATGAAATCCTTTTATAATCTACAATAATTATTCACCATTTTTAACAAACAATATTGAAACTCCACCTATGACAGTATTTATAAGTGGCGGCCATTTGGTCGAAAGAAAAATACGGATCATTTAAATTTCTAGTTTTTTTACTTGGTTATTCTTCCCAGGTTGGCAGATGAGTTCTGGGAGTGGTTTTGGATCCTTCCCATTTCTCGCTCTTTTTCAAGATCAGAGGTCATCATCTACCTGACTCGCTGGGTTTGTGGTTTGGTTATAGTAATAGAATTATTTTTGACTCAATATATTTGTTGTCTGTATAATTTGTACTATAACTTGGTTCCATCTGAAACATAAAAATAAAAATAAAAATTGATAATTCATAAAAAAAAAATGATTTTTTATTAATATTATTAATATGTAAAATAATGTAATAATTTCAAAAAATTGATTTCCTATTAGATAATACATCGTCTCTTCCATTATAGAAAGAGATTCTATCATAGATGTGGGAGAATAACTGAGAATAACTCATTGTATCTGAAGCATAATAAGAGTATAACTTGTAGGAATCATTATTTGTGATATTGAGCTTATACGACTAAGTGCAAGCATTGAACAAGCCTCTGATTAAGGTTGCTTGCCAAAACCTAGGGGTTTAGGCAAGATGGCGTTTCGCCGAAAAGCGAAATTCTGCCGAAACTATATTAAAGTTATATTAAAAAACTGGTGAAACTTTGGAGAAAGGCGAAACTGCTGAAACTTATTATAAATGCCGAAACTGCCAAAACTCTGCCAAAACTATAATAAATCTATAGTAAAATTTTGACGAAACTAATCGTAGGATTTTGAAGAGGTTTAGACAAGCAACCTTACCCCTGATGTTGATGTTTTTGCTGTTTCATTGTAAAAATTAAGTAATGATTAAATATTTTTATTAATATGTACAAAATTTTAGAATATTTCGCAAAAATTTTTTTTATTAATAATTTTAATATATGCAATTGCTTAATCCTTCACTCAGCGGTACAAAATGATCATTAATTTTGTCAGGATTTTTATATGTTAACTAGAATTTTTAATGGTATTCTTGATAAAAAAGCTTAATTTTGCAATAGATAACGCTGAAAAGGTTTTATATCCTACCCTATAAAAAATATGGATACGGTTAACATACGGTATTACCGTATTTTGCGAACAGTATCATTACAGTATCATTAAAGTATTTTAACAGTATTTTCACATACGATATACATTTGGTATTTTGCACACCGTATTATATACACGGTATTTTTAAATAGTGAAGATTTGTATACTTTATACTTATATGCAGTATTATATTTCAGTTTATAACGTATGTGATTATTTGCGTATTCCAGTTTATAACGTATGTTTTATACTGGTGGTTATTTGCGAACAGTATTATACCTCAGCTTATAACGTATGTTTTATACTGATGGTTATTTGCAAATAGCATGATGCCTCAGTTTATAACGTATGTTTTATACTGGTAGTTATTTGCGAACAGTATTATGTTTCAATGTACAATGTATGTTTTATACTGGTGGTTATTTGCTAACAGCATAATATATGTATATTTTATCATATTTGCAAGTATTATTACTACGGTATTTTTATATATAATATAAATTTATATATTTATATATTTAACATGAAAATTTGTCCTTATAATTATTAAATTTTATTATTAAATTAAAAATACTACAATCAAATATAGAAAGTTAGAAGGTACAATTTTAATAGTGATAAAAAAATAAAATTAGTAGTAATAAAAAAATAAAAAATTAATAAAAGATGAAATTAGTAGTAATAAAAAATTAATAAAAGATGAAATTAGTAGTGATAAAAAATTAATAAAAGATGAAATTAGTAGTAATAAAAAGATAAAGTTAGTAGTAATAAAAAGATGAAGTTAGTAGTAATTAAAGATGAATTAATAGTAACAAAAGAATGAAATTATTAAAGATTAGATTAGTAGCGATAAAATTAGTAGCAATAAAAAGGAGATACAATTAGTAGTAATAAAAAGATAAAATTAGTAAAATAAAATTAGTAATGATTAAAAGAAGTCAAAACTAGTAGTAATAAAAGAAAAGGCTAAATAAAGACAAAAAAAGGAAAAGAAAATCAATGACTGTACCTTTTTTATTAAGTATATAAATATATTTATATTAGAAAAGTTCAAGAAATCAAAATAAATAATTAGTAATAACTGAAAGTTAACCATCATACTTAAATATAAAAAACTATTATAATTTCACAAACATTAAATATTTTCACAAACGTATAAATGTTTTTGTAAAAGTTTTTCTTTTAACTTTTTATTTGGAATCAGTTTAATAAAATTTTCTTCTTAAATAATAAAAATAAACAAATAAATGTAATATCTGAAATAATAATAACTTGAGTAAAAAAACAATGATAAAAATAAACAAATAAATGTAATATCTGAAATAATAATAACTTGAGTAAAAAAGTAAAAACAAAATAAAAGAAAGAGTTTGTATTTTTCCAAATTTATATTATTCACGTTACAAAAACAAATAATCTGCAATCATCTATTGGCTAATTTTCACGTGGTAATCCACTGATCAGCCAATAATTTTGTTCTTATATAATTAACCCAGAAAAAATATTTTTAAGACAGTAAATAGCCTATAGTCCTATACAATACAAATGTGCATAATTTGATCAGAAATATGATTAAAAAGTTCTAAGTCCGATAATTACGATTGTTAAGATACCGCTCAACTTTAACAGTTTAACTTTTTAACTGTATAGTTGAAAGCATGATCGATAAATTAAATAATAATAAGAAAAATTCGTGAGAATTTTCCTTGGTACTGCTTAATTTTTTTAATTTTTAAATTAAAACCTTAATACTAAATTAGAATAAGCAGTATCAAGAAAATTCGCGGACTTTTCTTGTCATTGTTTAATCGATTGCTTTAAAAAAAACAATGGCATACTTTGAACTAGTGTTCTAAATGGATCGAATCAGATCGGATTTGAGATGAATCCGATTTGATCCAAATTCGGATCAAAAAAAGTTGGATTTGATCTGATCCAAATTCGGATCAAAAATAATTGGATCTGATCTGATCTGAATCCGAAATGAGCTTGATTCGATTCGGTCTGAATCCAATAATTAATAAACCGTTGCGAAACGGTTTTTTTTAGTTAAATAAACCGTTTTGCAATGGTTTATATTAAAATAATTAATAAACCGTTGCAAAATGGTTCTTTTTAGTTAAATAAACCATTTCGCAACGGTTTATACTAAAACAATTTAAAAAAACTGTTGTGAAACGGTTCTTTTTAGTTAAATAAACCGTTTCGCAACGGTCTATATTAAAATGATTTAAAAAACTGTTGCGAAACAGTTTTTTTTAGTTAAATAAACCATTTCGCAACGGTTTTTATTAAAATATTTTAAAAAACCGTTGCGAAATGGTTTTTTTAGTTAAATAAACCATTTCGCAACGGTTTTTATTAAATTCGTTAAAAAACTATTTCGCAACAGTTTTTTTCGTTTAAATTGAAATAAAAAATGTTTCGCAACATTTTTTATTAAATAAATTTTTAAAAAAACGTTGCGAACCATTTTTTTAACTTCTGATTCAGATCGGATTCAGACCGGATCGGTTTTATCTGAACACGGTTTATTTAATTAAAAAAAACCATTTCGCAATGGTTTTTTTAACGATTTTAATATAAACCGTTGCGAAATGGTTTATTTAACTAAAAAGAACCATTTCGCAATAGTTCTTTTAATTGTTTCAATATAAACCGTTACGAAACGGTTTATTTAATTAAAAAGAACCGTTACGAAACGGTTTATTTAATTAAAAAGAACCGTTTCGCAACGGTTTATTTAATTAAAAAGAACCGTTTCGCAACGGTTTATTTAATTAAAAAGAACCGTTTCGCAACGGTTTATTTAATTAAAAAGAACCGTTTCGCAACGGTTTATTTAATTAAAAAGAACCGTTTCGCAACGGTTTATTTAATTAAAAAGAACCGTTTCGCAACGGTTTATTTAATTAAAAAGAACCGTTTCGCAACGGTTTATTTAATTAAAAAGAACCGTTTCGCAACGGTTTATTTAATTAAAAAGAACCGTTTCGCAACGGTTTATTTAATTAAAAAGAACCGTTTCGCAACGGTTTATTTAATTAAAAAGAACCGTTTCGCAACGGTTTATTTAATTAAAAAGAACCGTTTCGCAACGGTTTATTTAATTAAAAAGAACCGTTTCGCAACGGTTTATTTAATTAAAAAGAACCGTTTCGCAACGGTTTATTTAATTAAAAAGAACCGTTTCGCAACGGTTTATTTAATTAAAAAGAACCGTTTCGCAACGGTTTATTTAATTAAAAAGAACCGTTTCGCAACGGTTTTTTAACAATTTTAATATAAACCGTTGTGAAACAGTTTATTTAACTAAAAGGAACCATTTCGCAACGGTTCTTTTAATTGTTTTAATATAAACCATTGTGAAACAGTTTATTTAATTAAAAAGAACTGTTTCGCAACGGTTTTTTAAAATATTTTAATATAAACCATTGCGAAATGGTTTATTTAACTAAAAAGAACCATTTTGCAACAGTTTTTTTAATAATTTTAATGTAAACCATTGCGAAACAGTTTATTTAACTAAAAAAACTATTTCGCAACAGTTTTTTTAAATTGTTTTAGTATAAACCGTTGCGAAACGGTTTATTTAACTAAAAAGAACCGTTGCGCAACAGTTTTTAAATTGTTTTAATATAAACCGTTGCGAAACGGTTTATTTAATTAAAAAGAACTATTGCGAAATGGTTTATTTAATTAAAAAGAACCGTTTTGCAACGGTTTTTTAAAATATTTTAATATAAACCGTTGCGAAATGATTTATTTAACTAAAAAAAACCATTGCACAATGGTTTTTTAAATTGTTTTAATATAAACTGTTGCGAAACGGTTTATTTAACTAAAAATAACCGTTTCGCAACGGTTTTTTATTGTCTTAATAAAAAACGTTGCGCAAAACATTTTTTATTTTCCAAGATTTGGATTTGATTCAGATCTGATCCGAATCTGATCCGAATCCATTTGAATCTGATTCAATCTGATCTGATTTGAATGAATAACTGATCTGATCTGATTCGATCTGAAATGGATCAAATTATTTTGATTCAGATCAGATCACAGATCATAAAAAAGCTGATCTGATCCGATCTGTTTCAGATCAGATCTGCGGATACGAATCAGATTGGATTTTTTTGGAACACTACTTTGAACAATAGCAAGAAAAGTTTGAATGAATTTTTCTTACCATTGTTTAATCAATTGCTTTAAATAAACAATGATATACTTTGAACAATAGCAAGAAGAATTTTCTTGCCATTGTTTAATCAATTGCTTTAAAAAAAACAATGATATACTTGAACAATGGTAAGAAAAGTTCGCACGAATTTTTCTTGTCATTGTTTAATCGATTGCTTCAAATAAATGATATACTTCGAACAATAGCAAGAAAAGTTCGAGCGAATTTTTCTTGCCATTGTTTAATTAATTGCTTTAAAAAAAACAATAATAGACTTGAGTTAAACAATAGCAAGAAATATTCGAACTAATTTTTCTTGCCATTGTTTAATCAATTACTTTGAAAAAAAAACAATGGTATACTTTGAACAATAGCAAGAAAAGTTTGAACGAATTTTTCTTGCCATTGTTTAATCAATTGCTTTAAAATAAACAATGCTATACTTCGAACAATAGCAAGAAAAGTTTGAGCTGCGAACTTTTCTTGCCATTGTTTAATCAATTGCTTTAAAAAAAAATGCTACTTTGAAAAATGGCAAGAAAAGTTTGAGCGAATTTTTCTTGCCATTGTTTAATCAATTACTTTGAAAAAAAAACAATGGTATACTTTGAACAATGGCAAGAAAAGTTCGAGCGAATTTTTCTTAATACCGCTTAATCTTTAAATTAAAACCTTAGTAAATTACTTTACAGAAAGATTCGAAATCGAATAATAATATTGCACTTACATTGTTTCAATATTAAGTTAATGTCAAAAATCTTTATTTTTCCCGCCTTGTGTACATTAAGTAAACATCGAAATGACATCGAACAGATGTCTATCTGGCATCATACAAACATTATGCGAATCGAGATAACATCGGACGAGCGTTGATTCGACGTCAATCAAACATTCGACATCAGGACATGATGGCTTAGTGTATTTTATTCTAAAAGAAATAAAATGAAAAAAAAAACCTAAAAGGAAGTTTATTGAGACTTTTTTACTCATTTCATATATACCAGCATTGTATGTAATGTGATTTTGGTAAAATTATATTTATTAATTAAGGTTTAATACTAGTTTTTATTATAACTATTATAATACATGGAATTATCTGGGGGTGTACTGACAGTAGAACTTTGACTAGTATTACGAGGTGGTTTTTCATTTAATGCCTGCGTTATTAAACTTTTATTTACAATTATAACGTTCCTTAGGTTCAATAAAACACGTATAAGGGATTTAGTGTTTGTTAAATGTGGTGATATTGGGATTTCAGCATGATCAACATGGAAATATCACGGTATACCACCTAGATCCTTTACCAAAACATTTAATCGCATATCTAAACCAGCAATTTGAATACCAACAACTCCAAATTCATTACTGGCCAGTCTACATAATGCGTTTATAGCTAGTGCTCTACATGAGCCGGCTCGAGCCGAGCTACAGTCTGGCTTGGCTCGGCTTGAAGATCTGTGCCAAGCCAAGTCTGAAATGAACTGAGCCACAAAAAATCTTGGCTCAGCTCAGTTCGAGCCAAGCTGAGCCATGAAAATCCTGGCTTGAGCCAAGCTGGGCTCGAGCTGGCTCGAGCTTTATCATAAAAACGTTTTCGCAACATTTTTACTTTAAATTATTAAAAAAAATGTTGCGAAACGTTTTTTACTTTTATATTTATATAAAATGCTGAAACTATTTGTTTCGGCGTTTTTCCTTTTGATTTTACATGTAAAAACGCTAAAACTGATAGTTTTGGCATTTTTTTTTCGATTTTACATGTAAAAGCGCCAGAATAATTGGTTCTGGCGTATTTCCTTTTGGTTTTACATGTAAAAACGCTGAAACTGATAGTTTCGGCATTTTTTTTTTGATTTTACATGTAAAAATGCCGAAACTGATAGTTTTGGCATTTTTTTTGATTTTACATGTAAAAGCGCCAGAATAATTGGTTCTGGCGTATTTCCTTTGGTTTTACATGTAAAAACGCCAGAATCATTAGTTCTGGCGTTTTTTTTTTGATTTTACATGTAAAAACGCCAAAACTATTAGTTCCAGCATTTTTTTTTCAATTTTACATGTAAAAACGCCAGAATCATTAGTTCTGGCGTTTTTTTTTCAATTTTACATGTAAAAACGCCGGAATCATTAGTTCCAGCGTTTTTTTTTAAACATTTACATGTAAAAATGCCAGAATCATTAGTTCTGGCGTTTTTTTCAATTTTACATGTAAAAACGCCAGAATCATTAGTTCCAGCGTTTTTTTTTTCAATTTTACATGTAAAAACTTAAATAAACGTTTTCGCAACCACTGGTCAAAAACCATGCAAACATAGCTTGAGCTTGAATTTTATTAATTAATGCCGAAGTGACTTTAGAGAAACACAGAGTGATCTAAAAAGCACCGCAACAAGTGCAGAACTAATAGAAAAACAAAGAACAAATAATCTTCCAAAATTACATATAAAGAAAAGCTAAGATTATAAACCCCACCCTCTCTATATAAATAACTACGGCTACTCCCCCCAAATCTATTTCAAAATGGGTAAAGTCGACTATGCTATACGTAACCCATCCAGCGTCGTACCCACTCCTAGAATCGGTAAAGAACCTCCGAGCTACCATTAGCACTATCAGAAATACCTAAAATTCAATTTCCCCTATTTGACTACATACTATGGATAACAAACCTATTTCACTAAGACCTCTGGGAACTTTTTAGTGTCTTGCAGTCCAGCCGATGGGGAACTTTTTAGTGTCGTGCAATCCCCGAAGGGACACCCACCTCATTTCGAACAATCCCAAACGGAGGACACCCACCTCATTGCGAACAATCCATCGACCTAAGATCTACCTAGATAAGTCAATCCAATGATAGTCCAACATGTGACCACCTTGATCGGCATACTACAAAAACTGCGGTACCCAACCTGTCACCCCCCTTATCACCCAGATGATCATCGATTTTCAAAATAGTAACACCAAGCCACCATGACGATCAAATTTACTGGTCAAAAACCAATATATCGGGTAGCAGATATGTATCAGATATGTACCTGATATGTGTAGTATTAATGCAGAAAATCGGGTACCTGATATGTGTAAGATATTTGTAAATATATATATCTTTTACATATCATTTACATATCATATACATATCGGTACCCGATATGTATATGATATATATATTTACATATATCTTACACATATCGGGTACCCGATTTTCTGCATTAATACTACACATATCGGGTACATATCTGATACATATCTGCTACCTGATATATTGGTTTTTGACCAGTAACTCTCTCCTAAATTTTTCAAAAACGAAAATTTTTGACGAAAATAATTTTTTATTACTTTTAAAAAATAATACAAGCTACTAATAAAATTTTATATTTTATATATTCCCAACTCAAAGCCCTCTACTATGTCTGGTAACTATGCCAAGAGAGGCTGTGGAAGTCATAACCCTAACAGTAGGAAAGCTTCCCGTTAAGAACGAAAAAATAATAATAACTCTGATAACTCAAGCTCCGATGGTGAAAACACTGTCCAGCAGAAACATAATCGTACGATTCATTGGGAAATTTTTTGGGGAGCAGATCTGCGCAGATTTTCAGAAATTATATCTGCGCAGATCTTATACCCTGGCGCAAAACATTAGAGGAAAATTTTAATAAAAAACTGCGCAGATTTTATAAATAGCAATGTTCTGCGCGGATTTTTAAATAAAAAACCTTTGAAATAAATCGAAATATAAAATACAATTAATATATGATAATTTATAGTCCATTTATATTAATTAATCATAATCAATTCTTTATTTCTACCAAAAAAA